TTATTTATGATAGGGTCTCTAGGCTGCAAGTCAGCTCTTTTCCAGCTGGCGAGATCTGGTTCCTCTTTATGTGCCTGTCCTTTCAGTGTAAACAAGCAAAGCTTCTCCAACTCCACCGATCACAAGGCTGTAAACAAAGTATACCACAAATTTAGCATCAGGCAAGTCCCTCTACTTGATACAATGCCAAACAGCACAACATTAAGAGAAAGGTATTATTTTGTCTAAACACATTGCAACCTAGAGACAGTAACCCAGGTGATTTTTTCGTTCGTCTTGCTAAGAAAAGGCTGAAACCAGAAATGTCTTATTTAACTGATCTCATCAGAAACCACCCTTCCTATATTTTAGGGCTGGTGGTATTCACGTGAAAATACACCGGCAGAAATCTAGATGGAGAAGGTTGCACCTAGTTACAAGAACAGCTGCACACCCATACACTAGCAAGGACAGGAAAGGAAGGCAGGAGAGTTTGAACCTCATCAGGTTAATGATTCCCCCTTGCAATTTCTGTTTGCGTTCCGTCCTGAAAACTTGCCACTCGACCAAGTCAGGAGGAGATGTAAAGCCTAGGTTTTGGGGACTGAGGAAATTGGGGAAAAAGAATTTTGCTCTGGGAGATCCCACCGGCATAGCGAGGCCGGCAGAAATTCCCGTGTTTGCTTGTCTTTGTGAGGAACCTGGTAAAAGAACCTGCCCCAGCCGAAATGGCATGTGTGCCCAAGCGCTTCCTTCCTGTGCTGCTCACAGCACAGTGGTGGCACTAACGCTTCTCTCCAAGACTCAGGCTAAAAGCAGGGCTCCAAATCAGGATGAATGGTTTTACAAACAAAACCATTCACCGAAATAAGCTATCAACCCACTCAGTCCGTGCAATAGTTAATAATCCCCAAATCTCCTCTGCTATCTATCATAGCTGACAGGAATACGGTAGGATACCGACTAGTCTCCCCTCTCATAACAGTGCAAAGCTAAGTGTACTGACCTTTCATCTTAGCCTCATGGCTTAGTTAGCTTATGAAACAGAAAAGCTCCATAATGAACTTTATAAACAACACAAACTTCTGTTAAGTTCATTTGTGAGAGGGCTTTTTTTTTTTCTCCCCGGGAAAAAAAAGCATGTAAAGCTGAAGGCTCTCTGGTCTTTAATAGCATTACATTCACCTAAATCTTAGCTTTGGTGAGCTGTTTTAAAAATCACATAATTGCCCTTGTTCCTGAGAGGAACAAACATTGTATAACAACAGTACAGTATCTTACAATTACAGAGTAAACAGCCCTGGAAAGTAGGTGCTACAGACAGCCTGTAGACAGTCCACTGTGGAGACAGAATACCTCTGGATGTGGAACTACCAACAAGGAGCAAAGGGCTGCGAGGGCTGTAAGCTTTTCAAAAAGATCTGAAACACATGAGTCTGCTTGCCTGTAATCACTAACATCCTCTGAGCACTCTTCTCCGGAGAGGGTTAACCCCCATGTCTTGCCTGGATTTCAGCTCCAGTTATAAACATGCCCTCTGCATTAATTCCTTTGGAAGCTAAGGTTGGATAACGTATTCTTTATCCTAAAGAAAAAAACCCACTGCACATAGGAAGACCTAAGACCAACAGAGCCTTAGAAATGACTCGTTTTTTTTTTTTCTTCATTTCTATAGATGTGTTGTTTTCTACATTTTTAACAGAGACTTTAAAAAAGAAACCTATCTCTGATGTATCATTCTAAAAATTAGACTGGCAATTCTGTACGAAAGACAGTAAACTGTACAGCCCTGTTCTGTAAAAAGGTGCCTGCATCTAAGTTGTTCTTTAATATCTTATGTCCTACATCAGAGAAGAAGAATCCCTTTCTGAAGGATTCTTCTTTCTGGATCTCAGGTATCCACGTGCTCATGCAATCCAGATTACTAGGCTAATAGAAACCATCATTATAACTTCAAGATGAAGCAGAGCAAAAAACATGGCTAAACGCCAACCCTTGATTTACCTTCAATTTACCATCTGGCAAATCCTCTGGCTTCTGTTTACTGTGGGGTGACAGCTAACTGCATTTGCCCATCACTCAGAAATTAACACACGATATTGTCCATGACAACACTGGAGCAACACTAAAAAACTCAGTGATTAATGATCTCATGAGTGCTTTGCAGCTGCTACCATCTAACAAACTATTTCCAGAGCTTTGCTGATAAGCCAAGGCACTGCTGATGCACAAACAACAGAACTCAAATAAATAAAAATAAATAAAAGAAATGGTTATCTTTTTGAATTATGACAATCAAAGCATAACAGTGGCCTAAGGGCTAAAGCAAAGTTTCTTTCACAGATACAGATGTGTTCATCATTTATATTACTTTCAGTGCATATAGGACATGTAGTATGTGTGCAACTGTATGGGTCCATGTGCTCACATTAACAAAGGTACACATGATTTTTTAGTATACATGTCAGTGAATACATACATATTGTAAAAGCCTACCTCTAGCACGCACATGACAGACCTGCACAAACACATGTAAAACATGGTGAGGAATGGCAAGTGAATGGTCTAGACTAGGAGTGGTTTAGGTACACTGATATTCGTTCAGCCTCTTACACACATAGGCCATATTCCAAGAGCTAAAAAAAATTACCTGACTTATTTTAGTATTTGAGATTACACGTGCCTAACATACATATGGGGATGCATATTCACACATATTTATATGGGGCTAGTTTAAACAGATTCTCCTTCCTGTGACTTCTTTATCACACCTGAAAAAAGAATATGCTAATTCCATTCAGTGCAGAGCTGAATCTTTAGGATGGCAATCCAACTGTGAGGGGAAAAAAGGAAGCTTAAAGCTTTTCAAACGTAAGCAGATTTTTATTTCCAACAACAAATCTGCCCTCAGAGATACATGCCTAACCCCATGCTTAGTTGCTATTTGCATTGCAGAAGCATTTAGGAGCATCAGCCATGGGCTGGGATTCCCTTTTGCTGGGTGCTGTACAGACACAGGCCAAAAACATTGTCTTTGACCAAAGGAGTTTGCACCCCAATCCTTTATATTACTACCTAAAAAATTCAGGTTAGGTGATCCGTAATGCATAGCCACATGTTACAAAATCCAGATACAGCTTTGGAAAAAGTTTGTTATCATTATTTCATTTTTCTACTATTTTCATTTTATGCATTCACAGTACGCACTGTGTTAGGGAAACCTGAATGCACTCTATTGGTTAATAAGGTGCTGTCACCAAACCATGACTCCTGTGTTTTATTTCCAATTCCACCATTAATTTATAGTGTGACTTTGAATGGGTCATTTGCCTATTGCATCCATTTGTCTAGCTGTAAAACATGCTGAGTTAATTGCGGTGAGGCTTAATGTCCAAAATGTCCGTGTTCTCCCACAGAGGCAGAAGAAACACTCTTCTATTTGTATTACTGTACCGCATCCATTGTTGCACACCTGGTTCTCCTTACATGCAAAATATTACTGGCACTAATAGAACTTGACATTTAAAAAGTATTTCCACATGAAGCACTGTGTGGAAATTCATTTTTACTGTTAAGAAAAAAGCTGAGGTAGGCACTTACCAAGAAATTGTTAGTACATTGGCAGTCATGACAAAGAACAACGGTGATAAGCTAGCGGTGATAACCTGTTAAATTGAAAGGAAAAAAAACCCCACTTCATGAACCTGTGATACCACAAATGAAAACTGAAATACTTTTGCTGAAATTGAATTCCTGCATGTGCAGTCACATTTTTTTTCTTTTCTTTTCTTTTTTTTCCTTAACCATTAGATGCAGTACCTAAAATAGATAGTCAATGGACAGGAGAAACCCAATGAGTCTATCCTAAACAGTAAGGCATTGCTAAACACAGAGCTTCAACTCCTGCCCAACCTTCCTCCTGACGCAAGTACAGAGACTACATACAGGCACCTCCTTTCCCCTCTGGCCAGTGGGAGGCAGGCCAGAAAAAAAAACAGCAGAAAAAGACCCAACAGACAGGGGGACAAGAGCTGCGCAGCCAGCTTAGGGCAGGAATCTGACTGTGGGGTACTGCTGGGAAAGCACATGCAAAACATGCTGCTCATTAGGCTGGGAAACCAATAGAGAAAATAGTGTGACGGTCACGCATGGCAGCTCAATTCTGACTCCTACAGAACCTGGGACACAGCAGAGGCAGGGCAGGGAACCAGAGCAGAGGGTCCCTTATCACACATCCCAGCTGGCCTGGCCTGGAAACCTGCTGGCTTTTATTTGCCGACAGCAGACTGGGGAGAGCAGTCAGATCCTGCCTGGGCTTGAAAAGCCTTATAATTCTGAGGAGAATGAGAGCTTGAAATGTGTTTGCGGGTGTAGAAAAGCCAAAAAAAGGAATGGGGTATGGAGTAAAGAAAAACAACGCAACTTCAGTAGGTTTATACTACAAATCTCTCATCACACCCAGGTGTCCTGGGCAGAGAAGCTTGGGGCAAATGACTTCATATTTTCACAGTACTGATCCCAGAAACAGCTAGATCCCGACATACAATGGTTTGTGAGAGATCCCTGCCTCTACAGCTATGGAGCTACCACATCTGCAGCCTGCGCACAATTTTGGACATTTTGTTGCCAGATGGAGAATGTAAAATGGAAAGAGTTCAGAGAACAGTGACAGAGTCATTAGATGGAGGGACTGATTTTCAGTCAACAGTTAGGATAAGCAATGCCTGTGGGAAAGGAAGACTTGGTAGTGATTTACAAATACTTGGGAAACACAAGCACCGAGGAATGAAAAGGAACTATTTAGGATAATACAAAATTGCCCAAGGATGGGCAACATTAACAAATGTTTTATTAAGAAACAAAACATTTAAACAATTATCAGCTCAGATTTCCTAATCATTGTTTGTCTAGTTGACTCCCAGGGGAGACAGCAGAAACTTCATTACGTAATCTATTACTTGTTAAAACACTACTACATGTGCAGTAGGGAAGCAAATGCCATTTTAGAGTAGGCTCTGTGCACCAGACCCCGGACTAACAGTTTGTTAATCGATACCCACTACATTTGTTATGGCTGCATTTTAAAAGGCAGAGTTCTGAATCTGCCCCGAGTGTAATCATTGCAGGATCACGAGCAGCAGCGGATGAAGAAGAGATGGTTGTACGTCACTTCTCCAGCCCCACTCTAAGAGGTAGCTGGAGAGGGGACAATAATCTAAAGCTGGCAGTGAGACCACGCAACGGCAGTAAGCACCACACAGGAGCGGTGGTGCTCAACGGGGACTATGCAGTGAGCGTCTCCTCTGGCCTATTTGGGGATGTTCTCTACTTTAGGGAGATTCAGGGATGCAGGAGATGGCTTTTTTCTTCCTAGAGATTACCATAAATAACACCCTGACGGTTCTCCACTTGCCTATAGCACAGGCACCTTGCAGAGAGATATGAGGCAGGAGATGGACTCGATCCAGGTAGGACACCACAAGACTGCAGATCCACTCCATTCCCGCACAGCAATCAAATTGCTGGTATCAATACAACCACAGACATACCTACTGATACGAACTATTCATTCATCTGACAAGTATTTGCACACTGCCTACCACAGTAGTATACAACATGGGCAACACTGTAAAGCTCCAGGCTAACAGAAAAAGTGAGCTCCCGCGCCAGGGGAAAATCAAAGATATGTATCAGCTCTACCCCTACAGCCTTGTGTGTACACATACAAGCAAACATATGACTAAATAGAGGTACCCAAAAGAGACTGACAGAGGAGAAGGAAAAGTCACAAACTGAGAGTTATTCTTCAAACCTCAAGAAGATGATATTGCAACTATCCAAATTCAGGTCACACCTTGGCCTGTCTCATAGTCATTTGCAGCCAGAGAGAGCTGACACCTACTCCAAACAGTGGAAGTTAACCATTCAGGAGCTGAATCTTTCATGCACTTTACCTAAATGCAGCTCCTAGGCTGGATATCCGTCAGTTCAAATGCAGCACTCTAAAATACATCCACATCTTGTTCCAGCAGGCTGGATTCTCCCCTTACACACCTTGCAGCAGCTGTGCTGACCTACAAGAAACTATTTCTCCTTTACATGAGAAACGTGTGAACGATTGCAGAATTAACTGCATTAAGCTTACCTTAGGCTAATACAAATTTATTAGATAAAAATACACAATATTCATTACCAAGCATGTAAACAGGAACTAATGAAGGATGGCAGCTGTGGTATCTACGGAGCATTCTTTTCTTTAAGCTGTTCTCCTGAAAGAAACTGAAGTGCTGTATTTGAGAAGTGACACAAGTTAAAGTTGTGTCACCCACTCCCTTGTAGAGTCCTGTTTATTAGCAACTTGAGAAGAGGCCAACAGCAGAGAAACAGGCATTTAAGAACCCTCCAAAAACAGGCCTTATCAAAAACAATACACCATTCTACTGCGATCATCCCAAACCTCTGCAAAAATGCAAGCTGTAGCCTTTTGGACTATTACAGCAGAACACTGTTGTATTTTTGAAAAATTATGTAAGAGTGTCTCAGTGCCAAAGACAAACGAAATGTGGGTTGGAAGAGCACATGAAGTAGCGTGTGGAAGAAAAAAAACAAACTGAAACAAAAGGAAAACACATTGCTAAAATGTCCACCTTTGATTGTTTATCTAAAAGGGGAACACGTTTAAAAATGAAAAACAAGTTTTCAGGGAAGCTAACCATATAATTTGTTCCAGCAGAAGAATCTAAAGTCTAGGATAGTTCAGAAGGTAATTTTCCTTCAAGTACATTTCAGCATTTTCAGAAGTGTTTTAAGTGCACATTTAGTTTTAAAAAAAGCCACCTACATTGATGTTCTGAATGTCCTTTAAAAAAACCAAACCGCAACATGCTAAGTGCAGTAATATCTCTTTCTTCACTTTAAAGGTCACAGTTGTCCTCCTAGGCATTCAGATGCCTTAAGAAAAGGAATGAGCTTGCAAGACAAAAGAAAGCAAGTAAAAGGGCAAACTTAAGTTAATGATTTCCAAATATATTTTGGTGCTGAATCTTTAAAACTAGGAGGTGGAAAGGAAAATTTTAATTAACTATAACCAGCATATTTTGAACAAAGGTCCCCAAGATTTTGACATACAGTCACTGGTTCTACCAAATGATACAGACTGGATGGTTGAACCCCAACAATTTTAGGAACAGGAATAGCTCCATGGACTGTGCCTACTTACTTGCTTAGAGGAACTGTGACCAGGCAGTACTGCAAAAGCTATTTTTAAAAACATTCATACCATGAACATTTCTACAAAATTCTGACACAGCTTTCAGTGATTAGGGAAAAAATCCAAGCGTTAGCATCATTTAACAAAACATTTCCATGTGAACTGAAGTCGTTCCTGAGAAATCATTTCAAACCTTTCCTTGCACAAAAAAAAAGGGAAAAAGATTGTTTCTTAAAATAAAGCACTCTAAATTTAATGTGTCACTCCATTGTACCGTGGAAACAAGACCCATTTAAAGGAACACTTTATTAACACCTATTTGCACTGATCTCAACTATTTCTATAGTTCCAATCACCAAATTATTTACAAGTAATTTTATAAATAAACAAAAATCTTGGCATTTCAGAGTGCGTTTGTTATCTCAATCAAAAACAGTTCTAGCTCTTCACAATGTGTATCAGCATTGACGGAAATAAGTGTACCCTTGTGATGGATACTTATCTGGGCCGAGGTCTGTGCATCAGAGGAGAGTGGGCTGATCTCCTCCACTTCTGGAGGACACAACTTGCAGAAATTCATCAGCCCGGCCCAACTTACCCTAGATGAAACAGCTTCTATGGTAATGCAGATAGCCTGCTTGAGCTAGGACTGCAGATCCCACCAGGAAGGAGACGAAAGAAGATTAGAGCAGCATCGCTTCAAGCACAGGGAGAATGCTGCAGGACTGCCGGAACAAAGATTTGGCCCGAATAGTTAGATAACGAAACAGAACAGATGGGACTTCTTTACATAGCTACTCTAGTACAGGGAGCGAACAAGGACCAGGAGAGAAAACAGAGAGCAACCCAGCCCTGTGGCTGGACTGTGCCACAGAGAAGGGTCTTAAAACAGCAGCCCTTTTACAAGTTTGTACCGTAAGTGGGGTTGGACACACCTAGAACGGGTGGGACAGCACAGAAATACAGACTAATTTGTTACCTTACAACCTGGTCCCTAAAGAGGGAAGAAAACTTGTGAGATCCCTGCTCCAGTTTCTGAATAAGAGCAACATATTTCGAGGAGATTCAGTGATAGGAAAGACATGCTTATTGTAAACACTGGAACAGAAACAGAAGAGGCTGAACTCATTACACCTAATGACCCCGGGCATGCGAAGGCTCTAGGGTTTGTGCATCAGAGAAATCATGGCCATCAAAGATAACTCATCAGAAGTTGGTAAGGCATGAACTACGGTGAAGCCTTAAGGAAAGATCATGAGGAATCACTTAGTAGGAAAAAAGTCTGTGTTGCCTCCATGGTGAAATGCCTATCTGAAAGGCTGAGCTTTGGATACCGGTACACCACAGCCTGGCAAAGCAGAGGGATGTGGAGCTCCAGAGTACTAACCCACAAGAAGTGGGACAGTCAGAAGTTTCAAACTCCTTCCTGATTGGAAGAGATTCCCAGATTTGGTT